GGTCAACTCACTACTAGTTCACTAGTTAGCTTGACAGCCCTTACTGGGCCTATTGCAGCCGTCAAGGCGCCTCCACAGAGCAAGGGAGCCCTCACTTCCGGCCCTTGAGACCCTCCCGCTACTCAATCTTGGCCCTCAGTGCCCTGAGAGCCCCCTTACATCTTGAAGACTTTACACACTGATGTACGCTATTGAACAAACCCACAAGGGCCGTGATGAGGGTTCGAACCTAAGTCAGAGAGGATCCCAGACGCTGCCTTAAGCGACTAGGCCACTCATCACGCCATTGTGACTCCTGCGAGTAATCTTCACTATTCCTCAGCGACTGTTACAGGAAGCACCGCCTTACTGGACCTCACTATCATATTACACAGGAGAACTTTGTCTATGAAGTGGACGTGTTATCCGACTGACACTCTTCTTAACCGGAGATTAATTACTTAAATGATCTCATTTTAATACATAAAATATCAGCGTAAGTGAAGGTGATCCTTGAGGATCAAGGTATTACTTACCTTTGTCTTCGAGGGTAAGGGTAGTGGGCCACCACGTCTAAGGAGGAACTTTACCTACGTAGAGAAGTAGGGAAGTTTCCTGGCCTGGCGTCTCACTTATAACCACAATACACCAGTAACATCTTGCTACAGTAAACAACCAACAAATAAATCACTTGTGTACACAAAAACAACACTACAATATTCGGTTAATAACACGCTAATTGTTTGCCAACATCCGGTCAACACACCGTGAACGAACACCTGCCGGTTATTTTCTTATCCGAACATATCGGTGAGTTATTGGTAGTTACGCTTCGAATGTTTTGGTCCAGGTGACCACGACACAACCTTCACTACCCAACACAAACGTCTTAATGGCCTGCCTTACTACCCCGTCTTCAGCTGGTCACAGCTGACTTACAGCCAATCACAGACGCGTTCGTCAAGCGTCAAACTGCCTCGTTCCAGCCGCGATCCTGCCCCCGAGACGCCTTCATTAATGTTAACGTTTTGTGCATTAATAACCGGTTTGCTCTCTTGTAAATGACTATTATTATATATTAAAGTTGTAGGTATAGTTAGACATAGTTGTTGAAGGTCTGCTGGTCACAGGTCACCAGTTGTGGGTCCTGTATACACTGGTCACCAGTTGTGGGTCCTGTATACACTGATCACCAGTTGTGGGTCCTGTATACACTGATCACCAGTTGTGGGTCCTGTATACACTGGTCACCAGTTGTGGGGGTCCTGTATACACTGGTCACCAGTTATGGGTCCTGTATACACTGATCACCAGTTGTGGGTCCTGTATACACTGGTCACCAGTTGTGGGTCCTGTATACACTGATCACCAGTTGTGGGTCCTGTATACACTGGTCACCAGTTGTGGGTCCTGTATACACTGATCACCAGTTGTGGGTCCTGTATACACTGATCACCAGTTGTGGGTCCTGTATACACTGATCACCAGTTGTGGGTCCTGTATACACTGATCACCAGTTGTGGGTCCTGTATACACTGATCACCAGTTGTGGGTCCTGTATACACTGATCACCAGTTGTGGGTCCTATATACACTGGTCACCAGTTGTGGGGTCCTGTATACACTGATCACCAGTTGTGGGGGTCCTGTATACACTGGTCACCAGTTGTGGGTCCTGTATACACTGATCACCAGTTGTGGGTCCTGTATACACTGGTCACCAGTTGTGGGGGTCCTGTATACACTGGTCACCAGTTGTGGGGGTCCTGTATACACTGATCACCAGTTGTGGGTCCTGTATACACTGGTCACCAGTTGTGGGGGTCCTGTATACACTGGTCACCAGTTGTGGGTCCTGTATACACTGATCACCAGTTGTGGGTCCTGTATACACTGGTCACCAGTTGTGGGTCCTATATACACTGGTCACCAGTTGTGGGGGTCCTGTATACACTGGTCACCAGTTATGGGTCCTGTATACACTGATCACCAGTTGTGGGTCCTGTATACACTGGTCACCAGTTGTGAGGTCCTGTATACACTGGTCACCAGTTGTGGGGGTCCTGTATACACTGGTCACCAGTTGTGGGGGTCCTGTATACACTGATCACCAGTTGTGGGTCCTGTATACACTGGTCACCAGTTGTGGGTCCTGTATACACTGGTCACCAGTTGTGGGTCCTGTATACACTGGTCACCAGTTGTGGGTCCTGTATACACTGATCACCAGTTGTGGGTCCTATATACACTGGTCACCAGTTGTGGGGTCCTGTATACACTGATCACCAGTTGTGGGTCCTGTATACACTGGTCACCAGTTGCGGGTCCTGTATACACTGGTCACCAGTTGTGGGGTCCTGTATACACTGGTCACCAGTTGTGGGGGTCCTGTATACACTGGTCACCAGTTGTGGGGGTCCTGTATACACTGATCACCAGTTGTGGGTCCTGTATACACTGGTCACCAGTTGTGGGGGTCCTGTATACACTGGTCACCAGTTGTGGGTCCTGTATACACTGGTCACCAGTTGTGGGTCCTGTATACACTGATCACCAGTTGTGGGTCCTATATACACTGGTCACCAGTTGTGGGTCCTGTATACACTGGTCACCAGTTGTGGGGTCCTGTATACACTGGTCACCAGTTGTGGGGGTCCTGTATACACTGGTCACCAGTTGTGGGGGTCCTGTATACACTGATCACCAGTTGTGGGTCCTGTATACACTGGTCACCAGTTGGGTCCTGTATACACTGGTCACCAGTTGTGGGTCCTGTATACACTGGTCACCAGTTGTGGGGTCCTGTATACACTGGTCACCAGTTGTGGGGGTCCTGTATACACTGGTCACCAGTTGTGGGGGTCCTGTATACACTGATCACCAGTTGTGGGTCCTGTATACACTGGTCACCAGTTGTGGGGGTCCTGTATACACTGGTCACCAGTTGTGGGTCCTGTATACACTGGTCACCAGTTGTGGGTCCTGTATACACTGATCACCAGTTGTGGGTCCTATATACACTGGTCACCAGTTGTGGGGTCCTGTATACACTGATCACCAGTTGTGGGTCCTGTATACACTGGTCACCAGTTGTGGGTCCTGTATACACTGGTCACCAGTTGTGGGGTCCTGTATACACTGGTCACCAGTTGTGGGGGTCCTGTATACACTGGTCACCAGTTGTGGGGGTCCTGTATACACTGATCACCAGTTGTGGGTCCTGTATTCACTGGTCACCAGTTGTGGGGGTCCTGTATACACTGGTCACCAGTTGTGGGGGTCCTGTATACACTGGTGACCTGTGACCAGCAGACCTTTAACAACTATGTCTAACTATACCTACAACTTTAATATATAATAATAGTCATTTACAAGAGAGCAAACCGGTTATTAATGCACAAAACGTTAACATTAATGAAGGCGTCTCGGGGGCAGGATCGCGGCTGGAACGAGGCAGTTTGACGCTTGACGAACGCGTCTGTGATTGGCTGTAAGTCAGCTGTGACCAGCTGAAGACGGGGTAGTAAGGCAGGCCATTAAGACGTTTGTGTTGGGTAGTGAAGGTTGTGTCGTGGTCACCTGGACCAAAACATTCGAAGCGTAACTACCAATAACTCACCGATATGTTCGGATAAGAAAATAACCGGCAGGTGTTCGTTCACGGTGTGTTGACCGGATGTTGGCAAACAATTAGCGTGTTATTAACCGAATATTGTAGTGTTGTTTTTGTGTACACAAGTGATTTATTTGTTGGTTGTTTACTGTAGCAAGATGTTACTGGTGTATTGTGGTTATAAGTGAGACGCCAGGCCAGGAAACTTCCCTACTTCTCTACGTAGGTAAAGTTCCTCCTTAGACGTGGTGGCCCACTACCCTTACCCTCGAAGACAAAGGTAAGTAGTAGTAATAGTAGCCATTACGACTATATAGCACTGGGAAAGGGTCAGGATAAGGATTTGGGATGGGACGGGGGAAAGGAATGGTGCCCAACCACTTGTGGACGGTCGGGGATTGAACGCCGACCTGCATGAAGCGAGACCGTTGCTCTACCATCCAGCCCCCTAAATGACAGAGTTATGATAGTGTAAACATAAGTAAATTTCTATGTTTCCAGCGGTACATAATGTTGGCAGAAAATTTTACAACACAGAGGGAACTTAGGATAGGTTATCTTGAGATGGTTTCGGGGCTTAGTGTCCCCGCGGCCCGGTCCTCGACCAGGCCTCCAGATCGAGGGAAGGCAATTTTGCTGACACGTTTCCTGAAGCAACTATAGCAAACTGCTGGACTTCGGCAGTTGAGCTGTGGTTGTCTTACCTGTAGTGGCTGGCACGGGGCACGGAGCCAACTGGCTACTGTATACTACTTGAATGCATTGTTGGGGTCATCTTCACGGTGTTGGGGGTCACCTTCACGGTGTTGGGGTCATCTTCACGGTGTTGGGGGTCACCTTCACGGTGTTGGGGGTCATCTTCACGGTGTTGGGGGTCACCTTCACGGTGTTGGGGGTCACCTTCACGGTGTTGGGGGTCACCTTCACGGTGTTGGGGGTCATCTTCACGTCACCTTCACGGTGTTGGGGGTCATCTTCACGGTGTTGGGGTCACCTTCACGGTGTTGGGGGTCACCTTCACGGTGTTGGGGGTCACCTTCACGGTGTTGGGGGTCACCTTCACGGTGTTGGGGGTCACCTTCACGGTGTTGGGGGTCACCTTCACGGTGTTGGGGGTCACCTTCACGGTGTTGGGGGTCATCTTCACGGTGTTGGGGGTCACCTTCACGGTGTTGGGGGTCACCTTCACGGTGTTGGGGTCACCTTCACGGTGTTGGGGTCACCTTCACGGTGTTGGGGGTCACCTTCACGGTGTTGGGGGTCACCTTCACGGTGTTGGGGTCATCTTCACGGTGTTGGGGTCATCTTCACGGTGTTGGGGGTCACCTTCACGGTGTTGGGGTCATCTTCACGGTGTTGGGGGTCACCTTCACGGTGTTGGGGTCACCTTCACGGTGTTGGGGTCACCTTCACGGTGTTGGGGTCACCTTCACGGTGTTGGGGGTCACCTTCACGGTGTTGGGGGTCACCTTCACGGTGTTGGGGGTCACCTTCATGGTGTTGGGGGTCACCTTCACGGTGTTGGGGGTCACCTTCACGGTGTTGGGGGTCACCTTCACGGTGTTGGGGGTCACCTTCACGGTGTTGGGGGTCACCTTCACGGTGTTGGGGGTCACCTTCACGGTGTTGGGGGTCACCTTCACGGTGTTGGGGGTCACCTTCACGGTGTTGGGGGTCACCTTCACGGTGTTGGGGGTCACCTTCACGGTGTTGGGGGTCACCTTCACGGTGTTGGGGGTCACCTTCACGGTGTTGGGGGTCACCTTCACGGTGTTGGGGGTCACCTTCACGGTGTTGGGGGTCACCTTCACGGTGTTGGGGGTCACCTTCACGGTGTTGGGGTCATCTTCACGGTGTGGGGGTCACCTTCACGGTGTTGGGGGTCACCTTCACGGTGTTGGGGGTCACCTTCACGGTGTTGGGGTCACCTTCACGGTGTTGGGGGTCACCTTCACGGTGTTGGTGGTCACCTTCACGGTGTTGGGGGTCACCTTCACGGAGTTGGGGCTCACCTTCACGGTGTTGGGGGTCACCTTCACGGTGTTGGGGGTCACCTTCACGGTGTTGGGGGTCACCTTCACGGTGTTGGGGGTCACCTTCACGGTGTTGGGGGTCACCTTCACGGTGTTGGGGTCACCTTCACGGTGTTGGGGGTCACCTTCACGGTGTGGGGGTCACCTTCACGGTGTTGGGGGTCACCTTCACGGTGTTGGGGGTCACCTTCACGGTGTTGGGGGTCACCTTCACGGTGTTGGGGGTCACCTTCACGGTGTTGGGGGTCATCTTCACGGTGTTGGGGGTCACCTTCACGGTGTTGTGAATTTATATCCATTCTAAAGTATAGCGAAAAAGACCCGGACTGAATAGTCTTAATAGAACCTAAGAAACGCAGGATATAGCTGAAGAATATCACCAGGTGTCTAATTACTAACTCTTCTAGAAATGAGTCTCAGTTTCCTATTTGCCTTATTTCGAAATTTTATGTGTTGATTTTTTTGGCTTTAAATTCTTACTAGTCATGACACTCCCAGATATTTTTTGCAATCAGACTTTGCAGTCTCAACACCATCTAGCTGATATCCCGTAATTCTGGGATCATTACCTAGCCGAATAACCTTATATTTGTTAGCATAAAACTGCATCTGGAAATCTTGTGTAAATTTTAAACCTCTCTCTATATCGTCTTCAAGAAACTTTGAGTCTCCTGAGTTTATTTTCCTCCTCAATGTCGTATCGTCGGCAAATTTTGCAAATACTGCTCAATCCTGAATCTAAATCATTTATCTATTTAAAACAAGAGAGGTCCCAGGACAGAGCCTTAAGGCACTCCACTTACAACACTTTCCCACTCTGATTTAACTCCAGTTATTCTCTCTGTTCCTATGGTATAACCCTGTTCATAACCAACTTAATATAGCACCCCCAATACCGTGAGTCTCTATATTTTTAATCTTATTGTGGCACTGTATCATAAGCTTTGCTAAAGTCAAGGTACACAACATCGCAAACCTTGCCACTGTCAACTGCCTCAACTATGCTGGAATAAAATGAGAGGAAATTTGTCAAACTTAAAAGGCCATTTGTAAAACTATATTGTGAATCATTTATTAATGTGTTTATCATGATCTAGATAAATGGCTTTTGCAATTACCGAATTTATTTTGCAATTACAATATGTAATTTAATTATATATATATTGCACAATATATAATTTATACATATATAAATATATGTATATTTATATACATATATTTATATACATATATTCATATATATACGCCGCCCAAGATCACCCCAAAACGTACATGGTACTGTAAAGAATACTTATGACTCGCGTATTCATATAACTTTGATGTCGCTCACACACACACACACACACACACACACACACACACACACACACACACACACACACACACACACACACACACACACACATTAAACTGCTTATTAAACAGCCGAAGCAGAGCGAAATTATCTTACTGGTTTAATAAGAAGTGTAGAGGCTCCGTGGAGCGCAACCGGCGATGCCCAAGATGGAAGTTGTGGAGTAATAACTAAGCAATATTCTGAAAATAAGACAAAAAATATAAATTGCAATATGTTAACGCGTAAAGCAGAGCTAACGAGGAAATTGTCTGGTTGGTGTTGTTCAAAATTTGCTACTTGGAACAATAAATTCCAAGTAGCACGGGCTATGGTGAGCCCGCGGAACGAGGAAATGTTATCAGAATGACTTTTAACAGCGTCAGCGCGTTACTGCGGACTTCACGGTAATACGCCTAAGAATATGAAGAGCGAAATCTCTAAGAATATGAAGAGCGAAATCTCTAAGAATATGAAGAGATTTAAATTAGAACCCGAAAAAAAGGTTCTAATTTACAATATATTTACAATTTACAATATAATTACAGACATTGTAAATTTACAATATCTGTTCCTCCTCAAATAGTATTTGTCCCAAACGCAGGATAAAAAAAAAATAGTTATAATTAAATAATAATAATAATTTATAAAATTCTTGATCCAAACGATATATGTCAAAATAATAACATTTCGATAAAGACTTCAACAAATAACAAATCTATTTACTTCTTACTAGCCTTATATTATGTGAAATATTCTCAGTATGTGAATTATTATTATATACAAAACATAACTATGCTCCTTGTGATAGACTCGAACTCAGTACCGGAATCGTTTTGGATTGCAGTTGTGGTGTTGATAAATCTCTGGTGATGAACTGTCGCCCAGTTATCACTCTAAAAGGATTATATCCTAAATCTTTTTCTATCTTAAAAAAATAACGAAAATTACACCATGCGATAACACCAACAATTATATTATGATGGTGTAGAATTATTTGTTTTATGGGATACTCTAAAATATTATTAAACATTAAATTATTATCATAATTTCTTCCAAAACAGTATTTTAATGAATAAAAATAACTGAGTTAGCCCTTTTTCCGATAAAATAACGAATTATTATTCATTCATTAAAGTTATATAAAATTTAATTCATTTATATTTTTTCAAATATATAAATAATCTATTTTAATGTCAATTATTACATATTGTAAACATAGTATGTTGTTAAGCCCGTGTTCTACGCCCACTGAAAATAATAATATTGTTCGTAATTTACTTTAGTCTGAACTAAATTATGCCTGCTGGTTCTGGCTGGTCAGTAGGCTGTTTAGACGGCCACCAGCCTCATCACTGCCGAGGTTAATGACCCTTAAACAACTACAAACCAAAGTTCCAGTTCAGCATTAATGTTATCTTTATAACAAATAACATGTTTGCCCCCACTACTGACGAGTGTATCAACTCGCTTTAAACACGTTTGCTGCCCAAAGTGTTTGACGAAAAATGGCAAAAAAAAATATATTTTAATACTGCGTGTAAGATTACATGAAGTTAACAGAACAAATCCACAAGGGCCGTGACGAGGGTTCGAACCTATATACCTTCGTCACGACTCTTATGGATTTGTTCATTTGATGCATCAGGCTATTGTGATTTCTGTGTGTAGTTGCATGAAGTCTATATCACCACTCACTGTAAAGACTCCCAGTCCACTTTTGATGTGTTCGTAAGCAGAATAGGTAATTAATATCAGTCATGAGAAATTTGGAGGACTTTCAAGGTTTAAAATAGCATTTTTAAGAGTGACATTTAAACTGCTCAATTGTGGGAGTGACGTCAACAACTACAAAACACTAATTTAGTCCATCCCATAAACGTTTTATTAAACACAAAACTTGTCTAAAAAAAGTCATTGATTATTTACATTTTTATTAAAGCTGATAAGAAAATCTAAAGTTATTAAGATAAAACACCATTGCGACCCCTCCTCGTGTGTGGGGGTCCCAGGGCCCTCGTGTGTGGGGGTCCCAGGGCCCTCGTGTGTGTGGGTCCCAGGGCCCTCGTGTGTGGGGGTCCCAGGGCCCTCGTGTGTGTGGGTCCCAGGGCCCTCGTGTGTGTGGGTCCCAGGGCCCTCGTGTGTGGGGGTCCCAGGGCCCTCGTGTGTGGGGGTCCCAGGGCCCTCGTGTGTGGGGGTCCCAGGGCCCTCGTGTGTGTGGGTCCCAGGGCCCTCGTGTGTGGGGGTCCCAGGGCCCTCGTGTGTGGGGGTCCCAGGGCCCTCGTGTGTGGGGGTCCCAGGGCCCTCGTGTGTGGGGGTCCCAGGGCCCTCGTGTGTGGGGGTCCCAGGGCCCTCGTGTGTGTGGGTCCCAGGGCCCTCGTGTGTGGGGGTCCCAGGGTCCTCGTGTGTGGGGGTCCCAGGGCCCTCGTGTGTGGGGGTCCCAGGGCCCTCGTGTGTGGGGGTCCCAGGGCCCTCGTGTGTGTGGGTCCCAGGGCCCTCGTGTGTGGGGGTCCCAGGGCCCTCGTGTGTGTGGGTCCCAGGGCCCTCGTGTGTGGGGGTCCCAGGGCCCTCGTGTGTGTGGGTCCCAGGGCCCTCGTGTGTGGGGGTCCCAGGGCCCTCGTGTGTGGGGGTCCCAGGGCCCTCGTGTGTGGGGGTCCCAGGGCCCTCGTGTGTGTGGGTCCTAGGGCCCTCGTGTGTGGGGGTCCCAGGGCCCTCGTGTGTGTGTGGGTCCCAGGGCCCTCGTGTGTGTGGGTCCTAGGGCCCTCGTGTGTGTGTGGGTCCCAGGGCCCTCGTGTGTGTGGGTCCCAGGGCCCTCGTGTGTGGGGGTCCCAGGGCCCTCGTGTGTGGGGGTCCCAGGGCCCTCGTGTGTGGGGGTCCCAGGGCCCTCGTGTGTGTGGGTCCCAGGGCCCTTGTGTGTGTGTGGGTCCCAGGGCCCTCGTGTGTGTGGGTCCTAGGGCCCTCGTGTGTGGGGGTCCCAGGGCCCTTGTGTAGAGGTCTGAGGTGAGACGAAGAAACTGTGAGATAAGAAACCATGGTTTCTAGATTAGAATAGCACAACCTAGAAGAGAGAGAGAGAAAACAGGAGTCTTAGACGAGGAACATGAGTTGTATAGGAGTATGGTGGTGAGAGACAACGAGGGCTGAGGAATGTTTACGTAACCGTAACAAAGGGAGAGCTTCAAAAAAGAGGTGCGGCTCTTGGGCCCCGGCTCGTAGCCTCGTTGTAACCAGCAGGGAGGTGCGGATCTCCGAGGGTGGTCCTCTCGCAGCCACGGACGGGGGCAAGAAGCAGGCAATGGAGACCGGTGGAGGTGTGTTTACCTCGTAATCTGAGCACGGAGGGCGTGCCGCCCCATATGACTCCGTGCCGCAACAGCTCCTGTTTTCCGGGTGTTTATCGCAGGCTCCGAGACTCCTGCATTCTGGCCACACCAACAGAGGGCCGTCTCCCAACGATCTCAACAACCCTCGACTCTCGCAGCTTTCAGAATTCTCAGAAGAAAACAGAATTCTCTGATTATTATTTTGTTCGGAAGTTCCAGTCTGGCAGGGCTTGTTGTTTTGTCTTTTTTTTCTATAGTAAGATGGTAGATAGTGATGTCTCAGTATAGCTTTGGGTAAGTTTTGTTTCGTGGATTTGTTTTTGTGTCTTAGATAAGAAGGACGCAAGGAAATTGAGGCGTTTGAGGGAAGGTGGTAGAGTAGAGCGGTAGTTATGTGGTTACTAGGTCAGAGCAACGCGTGCACACACACACACACACACTCTCTCTCTCTCTCTCTCTCTCTCTCTCTCTCTCTCTCTCTCTCTCTCTCTCTCTCTCTCTCTCTCTCTCTCACATACACACACACTCACACACTCATACGTGTGCGTATGTGTGTGCCTCTTCCTGCAGGATCATTAGCAACTGATTGTGTCGTTGGGAATTTAGAAAATTTGTGTCGAATTTAGGAAACCCTAAAAGCAAC